TATCTCAGTGAAAGCTAAGAGAGGTAAAATCATGAATTCCTTCGCAAGTTCACGAAGCAAATCAACTTCGGGTATGAAAATACCTCGAGAGGGCACTTAAAATGAAAAAAGACGAGTAACAGCTTGCTGAAGTTACGCAAAGCGTGCCAGATTCCAGCTGACTAAGAGGCTGAAGGGGTGAACGGAAAAAAGGGATAGGGTGTCATATTTTATTGGAGGAAACTTGGTCCTTGGCCATTCCTCTTTCAGCATCATAGTTGCGTGCATATTGTGGCTTTACTATGAGTATGCTCACGTTCTCGATGAAGTAGAGCCAAATTCTAACATATTTTAGACGACGATGGAGCCGACATTACAACACTTTTGACAGTATGGTATAAGAACTTTTCTTTGAGAAAAAGAAATGACGAGGATTTACCACTACAAAAAATACAAAAGATGTAATGACTAACTAATTTCAATTTCCAAAAAAACTATCAGTTTTCCGTGTAAAATCGAAAAAATCGACGTAACAAATCGAAATATCGACGGTATAAGTCAGCAGTCACATATCTTGTTTGCGGTGTCTGAAAATCTCCGCTTCTGTGTTATTTTTTTAAGGGAGAACAAACCACGATACGTGGTCTGGAAGTTTCACCGTCGATACGAGGCTTCTTAAGGAAAGGAACGTTTTACGTACGGTTATGAATACGACCCAAAATTTCAACAATCATGCTGCTAATCTTAGAGTCTCCTCATAGAGAGAGTTAAGACAACGTGGCTTATGGATGTCACAAACGGGAATGAAGATCACACAAATTGAATGCTTTTCGTAATCTTTGATCAACTCATTCCCGAATTTCTATCTCCGCTCTGTCTCTCATTCCGTTTGCTCCTTGCCCTGCCCCTAATTCTCCAGTCCGTTCTGGTTTATAATATTTGCAATTCGTGAAAATGTAATCTTTATTCCCATTTATGACACTACACGGAGAAAAAAACCTCGTGCGTGGGACCCGAAGTTTAGGTCACATGGATCTCTGAAGTTTTCGGATTGAGCATCTGAACACTTTAGGTCTAGCTGTCGAGGTTTGGATCACACATCTGAAACTTCAGTTATTAAATCTGAAGTATTTCAGATGTGAGAACCGAAGTTTTTCGCATGTGAGAACCGAAGTTTTTCGCATGTGAGAACCGAAGTTCTTCGAATGTGAAAACCGAAGTACTTCAGATGTGTAATTCAAACCTCAGCAGCTGGGCCTAAAGTGTTCAGATGCTCAATCCGAAAACTTCATAGGTCCATACGACCTAAACTTCGGGTCCCACGCACGAAGTTTTTTCTCCGTGTAAGGAGGCCTGAAGTAAGAGAACTAATCAGATCTGGATTTGTACTGTCTTTACTCTCAGTAGAAAGGGACTCTAGCCAATCCATTTGAAAAGATCTTGGGGCCGTAAAAATCAGAATCATGTCCGGTGTGCGGTGGACGTGAGGGGGCGCGAATCGGGAAATCGGGAGCCGGAAAATGAGCGGAGCGTTGGGCGACGAGAGACAGGAGTGGCGGCTCCGGTGCGGGACGTTAATTTCGGCTTTGTCATGGAAATTCCGTCCACTTCCCGATGATTAATGTCCGAGGCGAATCACTTATGTTCCGGTGAGACTTCACCAAGCGCCACGCCTCCAAATCACCGACCGATTCTCCACTCCCCGATATACTCATCCGGACAGTATAGGTGCCACAAAACGACCGCTCGCGCGGTCACCCTCCAGGTCTAGAAGCTTAGGAGCAGCAACCCAATCGTAAATATTTTCCTATTACCTATTAGTTCAAATTCAAGGGGCGTCATTTTTTGAGGGTAAGGGGGCGTCACACCCTTTCTCATATAGGGGAAGACTTCTCTTATATTATTTTGCTTTCACTTACAATAAAATCTTCAGACACGAGCGAGCTTCCAACTCCAATCTTAAAATCCAATCAATTTCTCATTGAATAGATAGGTTCTCTCTTTAATGTTTCAATCGAAATAGATTCATTTTGCATTCAAGGCTACTTGAAAATTCTGAAAATTCCTCTGTGACTTAAAATTACGATATTTCTGTGACCATGCATGAATTTAGCGCTTAAAATTATAATTGACGGTCATAGTTCATCAGTTTTTGTCCATAGCCATCGCAGAAATTCATACTCGTAAACAATTTTTAAAAAAAATCGATAACTTAGTAAATATTGTGAGCCTCAAGAGGTCACTTTTTTTCAACTTTATTGAGGGAAACATTTTTAATTGAACCTACAGAAGATGCTTTTGTAGTCTGGCCCTTGACTACCCTTTACTGGCGCACTGATCCTATACGTAAATTATTTCAGAAAAAGTCTGGCTGTTAGCCCTCGAACTCGAACACTCTGTACATACCTAATTCGTAAATACATTTAGGAGCAATCTGAATTTCCTATCCCGGAACATCCTATACACGCACCTTATTCGTAAGTCTTTTACGTACTGACTTTACTAGTCCTGACCTTATTCATAGATAATTTTGGAAATAATCTGGCCGTTAGCCCTTGAACACTCTGTACATACCTAATTCGTGAATCAATTTAGAAGCAATTTGAATTTCCTACCCCGGAACACCCTATACATACCTACGCCTTATTCGTAAAGTCTTTTACGAGGCAAGGCGTACGTGTAAAGCTTTTTTACGGAAGAAGGAGCACTCGTCTTTTCGGCGCGAGTATTTATCTTAGATTAAATCTTAAGAACTCGACTTTTCCTTACTCGGAGAGAGACAATTACGCCCGACGCTCATCCGTAATTAGACGCTCAGTTCCGCGCGTCGGCGAATTGAGCGCGGCGAATGCGGATGTGCGCTTCAACTGCGGAATTCGTCTCTAATTAGCGAGTGCGAAACAGTTGAGACGTATGCAAACGTTCTCCTCCTGAATTTTACGCGTTTTACGATCCACGTATACCATACCTCCTTGACGTTATGCTGTTGTCAGATAGAATGGACGAATTGGATTGCATTTTGCAAAAAGGAGCCAAGAGCATTTTGATGTCGCTAAAATCGTGCGGCTTTTTTTCCGAGCAAACATAGACTGATCGTCTAAACAAATTTTATCATTACTCCCAGTAAACAATAAATTTAAGACGAAAATTCCATCGAGAATTTAATTTTTTGAATGATTTCAGTAATTTTATTGCAAAGAATGTAAGTTGCACAATCCTAGCAACATTGGAATGCTCTTGATTCCTTTTTGCAAAATGCAATCCAATTTACGTGGGCAATGTACTTGGAATTGGATTGCATTTTGCAAAAAAGAACCAAGAGCATTCCAATGTTGCTAGGATTGTGCAACATACATTCTTTGCTGTAAAATTGCTGGAATCGTACAAAAAATTGAATTGACCAAGGTAATTTTCATCTTGAATTTACAGCTTATTGGGGGTATACCTGTTTAAATAACCTGTTAGTCTAACCTAACATTTCATTTATGAATCAAGTCATGAAAGAGAAAGTCTAAGAGCAGATAAAAACATATGTTCATGTGTACGCTGTACGGATATGATAGGATGAAAACCAAAGCGGGAGCCTAGGAAACGCTTCAATGCCAAATTAAACATTTTTCAGTAACAGATGCAGTCAAAATTGAAAGTCCTCTTTAACTAGTCATTTCGTGCGCTTTCAATCTTGTAGGATACTGTGCAACGCCTCTGACGCGAAATAGTTGCTTCAAGCGTTGCGGCGCGGCAGTCTACCAGCGTGACACGCGCATAGGCGCCTACAAACCTAACGGGATACTTCACGCGTTGCGCAATGCGTGAAGTATCCCGTTAGGTTTGTAGGCGCCTATGCGCGTTCTGCGCTGCTAACACGCGTCTGTGTTAGGCTTCAATATTTAAACTCGCGAAGTCAGCGTTTTTCAATTCATGATTTTGAAATGTCTGCACTCTCTTCATTGATTATTCTCTTTTAAACTGATGAAAAATAGTGTGGGCTTTAGAACTGTGGACGTAAAAATTGTGGACGAAAAGTCTGTGCACGAAAAATAAGTGGACATAAAGTCCGTGTACCGTTTATATTTGCAAGGTAAATAAATTTGCAGTATTTTAGTGACAGTGGGATGCTCTTGGTTCCAATTTTCTGAATGCAATCCAATCAGAACTTTTTTTAAGAGAGATTATGGACACTGGGTGTGTATCATGAAGAATTTAGGGATGCAGGGAAACTCTGGATGGTACGGGTTTATCACCAATCGTTAACATTCAGTCCCTTCTGCTTTTGTCAGGAGTCCAGTCTTGCCATAGACTGATTTTGCGACTACATTATTCTATGTAATATTGAACTTTTGGTTCAAACTAAACCACACCTCTCTTAAGCACAAACTGGTTGCTCGGGAGAGAAAACATTTCTCTCGAAAACAACTCCTTAATGCAAACGAGAGTAATGTTTTCTCTCCCGAGCAACTAGCTAATGATTAGGGATACATTCCTCTCTTAAGCACCAACTAGTTGCTCGGAAGAGAAATCATTTCTCTTGAAAGCAACTCAATGCAACTCCTACACTTTTTCAATAATCGTCAAAAATATGCCTTGAAATGATGTTTCAGCAATTTTGGGGGGCACCGGGGAGCTATGTAAAATTGATAATGTGTCGTATCACTCCAAAATTTTACGAGAATTCAGAGAATGGTGCTATACATAGTGATACAAGCAACCGTTCTCATGTTATGACCGGAAAACCGATTTCGGAGCACCTACCCCCCAAAAAAACCCAAAGCCACCACGCTATCGATGAGGACTTTTTAGAGACTCAAGGGGTAATAAGGATCCACTATGCCAAAAATCAGCTTGCTATTACTTTTTCTCCTTAACTCTCGTATAATTCCTGGACTACCTTAGAGAGGTTTAAATTATTCTTTGAAGATTGAAGCTTCGCAAGCATATTTCCAGGAATTTTTCCGATCGCTTTTCATACAATGTAAAATTAAAATTTCGCATTTCAAGTTCGATTTCTCTTTTTGTTGCAGTTGACTGTCTTCCGACAATATCAGACACATACGCTGAAAGCGCCGCATAAAGGATATCAAGGTATGTACTTTTTTGCATGCGAACAAGATTATGTGATTTAAAATAAATTAACAGCTTTTCTCTATCAATATTTTTCGTGTAAAGTATTGATAACAAACCTGCAAACCTTACCTTGAACCTGAAAGGCGCCCTTAGTAGGATGTTATCAGGCGCAATGCCATGCGACGACGTATAATGAACCTGTCTTTGATGACATTTTTCTGAATACAACTATTCGTGCCTTGTGGATGTCCGTGTTGCATACGCCGAAAACTGAAGGCACGCTGTTCTTCCTTGCGTTGTCCGATACGCGCCACGCCATGCGCCATGCCAGCGCAGTACAGCGCCGTGTGGTGCTGCGTGAAAGGACCTTTTAAGCTACTCGTATTTGTGGCCCGGGTTCCACACATGGGCTAAACTGAATTAGACGTGGGCCAAAGTCGCACTTCAGAAAAAAAAATTAGTTATGAGCATAAGTCGGACAGAACCGCTTTGTCAGGAATTCAAAGCCAGACAAAAATATATTTTGAATGTGAACATAAGCCTTCAGTTTGAAACCTTTCCTCTTTTTTGTACTGAAGGATATACTACCGATACGAAAAATTACATCACAATGCATGGTGCATAATTATGACCAAACTTTTAACGCCGTATTCATCGTAAGTTTTTATTAATCGGCTCCTTTCCATTAGTAGTTAAATACGAAGGAGTCCCAATATAATCGACACTGTAATCAATGGGAAGTTTATAGAGACCTTCAACATAATATTAGGACACTTTCTAAATACTTCGATTAAAGTTCAGCAAGACAGATTTGGAAAAGCCTTATCAGGGGAAACAAACATTTACCACTGGAACACAAATGACACAGACATGCCATTACGGGCGAGGAAACGTTTACAGTAAGACCGTATCTACCATTAAGTTTGTCAAAGTTTTAAAAATTTATCATTTATATTCTTTCATCTTGTAAAGCATCGTGTTCCTTTACATGGATCTATTTCCCACGACAGATTTTTGCATTTGATGAGTGGATCGTGAATATTGTCAATTTTATCGTGATATTTCAAAGGCTCATCTCCCTTGATTACAATGCACACCATATTACGTTTCCGTATGAAGAGGACCTACATAATGGTCTGGTTACACGCTCAAATTTCCGTCAAATTACGATCAAAATGATGACCAAGATGGCGGTCGAGAGTTATCTAGATTGATGAGTAAAATCAATTAAAACAGCGTGCTTATTGAAATAAGCATGGAATAAGCACGGTTGTGTAGAAATCAGATGAAGGATGTGCCCCACAGCTCCATCATCTAACATCAAATTTTTGCAGGCCGCAGAAATTTGATGGTGGATGGTGCGCACCAGTCACCATTTGATCGGAAATTGATGGAAATTTGAGCGTGTAACCAGCACACAAGAAACGACTATGTATACGTCCCTTATCTTTAATGTATATCCTCGTTCAAAATTATTTTCTCTCTTGTGAGTCACCTCAATAAAACAGCTCATCAGGAGATGTGCCAATTGGTGTGCCTTGAGTTTCACCTCCGAAGCACGCACTAATGTAAAAACCCTGTTCCTCGGCAGTCGGACAAGTGTCAAGAGATTGATTAATCAACTCTAATGACCCGAATGCGGCAAACCACTCGAAGCACCGACTTCTAGCCGCAGAAGGCGTCAGACCGCACCATCATCACAAAAGCCGGAAGTTGCGACAATGCAGAATTATATCTTGGCCAGACTCGGCTCCGAAGTTCTCGCGCTACGCTACGCTACGGTCCTGTCGCTACGGAAAGTTGGGCAGGTATAGGGGAAGTTTTCGGGAATAATTACCCATCAAACACCTCCGACGGCTGGCTAGCGGAAACGTGATCCTAATACCCTTCGGCGATGCCAAATTTTCGAGGGAGTGCCCTAATGTTTCATTAAAAACAAACGTCTAAGACTTCTCACAGTAAAGTGACCTTAAGTAAACGGTATGAACCTGTATCAAACATCAGCAAGAGAAAAGAGACGAGTTTTTTCTTGTAGAAATGGGCTCAAAAATCACAATGAGCGCATCGAAAAAGGCTGAAATACACTCTTTATTTCACAATCTACGTAAGGAATATGTTTCTTTCAAGCCTCTTGCTTCAAAAATTATACTATAGTACAGGCAAATATTTCGTAAGAGGAGTCGTTCCTTCTAACCCTTGAGCACCAGGGTGATACACAATATTCAACATGTCTCGTGTCTGACTCTTCCGCGTGCAAATCGTGAGAAAAGCACTGCCCTGTAGCGATAAAGGCCGTAGTCACTACGGTCTGAGACCGTAGTCACTATCAACGCAAGGAAAACGTGAAAATAAAACACGCTGATTGATAAAATTCTGTCCGGTCAAGTGTACTTTGGCGGGTTGGAGTCAAGTATGTTGAATATTTCGCAGCATCCCAGTGCGCAAAAATACAACTCTTCTTTTTGCTCTTGCTAAAGTTTGAAACAGGCAAATACCGTTTACTTAAGTTCAAAGTACTGTGTGAAGTCTTAGGCGTTTGCTTCTAATGAAACGTCTCTCAATATAATTTCCCGCTCAGACGCTACCAAGTCCATTTTCACAAAACTTCATTTTTGCACTTTGCTACCACAGAAATGAAGCACTTATTGCTTCAGCCACTGAACCCAGATCAGTCGAAGCTAGGGATTCGCACCCGAAATATTAGGCCTCTGAGCCCTGCGGACTGATTGTTGAAATTTACAGACAAAACTATGGATCAAGAATACGTAGGGAGCATGGAAAGATTGTCCATTCCAACCACCCGCTTCCACTTGTAGGATCCCTCCATATCCGTTTCGTCTTCTTTGTCTATAGCTTTGTCAATCAATTTTAATAATCAGCCCGCAGAATAGACAGCAAAAACCGTTACTTTTTTTTAAGTGTTTGAATACGGGGGGAGTTCTACCGGATCGAATCCGATCAGGCAACAGTTGGCGCGAATCGCGGAGTTTGGGCCGGGAGCTGCTCCGCGGACGGGGATGGGGATGAGAGTGAGATGCGGATGAAGGGCACCGCGAACTCATAACAGCCCCCGCGGCACCGGGCGAGCGCCTCGCGGGCGGAAGACGTCATGCATTAATGAAGAGTTGCCGAACAAAAAGTTAAGAAAAACGACGACGGCACGCCGCCCCGCAATGTTGGCGGAACTCAGCCGCCGCGCCGCATCTGCTTCGATTCCAACGCACAATTGGCACGGATCCAAGTTTCCACGACCGTGACTCCAACCTCGGCGACGGAAAATCCAAGCTGAGATTTTCGGATCACGTACCTCGTTTGCGGCGTTGCGGACTCGGAGCGCTTTCGGAGCTAATTGGACAACGTTCCGCAACGAGGAATTACGATTTCTGGCTCGTTCATCGGTAAAAACACCTATCTGCATGAGGAAACTAATAGAACTTATGAGGCCTTATATGTAACAATGGCGGATGTGAAAAATTACATTTTCGAAACACGCTTAAAAAACTGTTTTGATTACACAAAAATTTAATAAATTTGGCTCTGGCATCATATACAGATCTCGAAGATCACATTTCAAGTATTTTCTCAAAATTTTCTCGATGCCAAAACAGTTTTTTGAATGGGTTTTGAAAAGGTCATTTTTCACATCATCCGCCATTGTTACATACAAGTCCTCATATGAGGGGCTTTAAAGACAAGACACATAAGTGCAGTTTTGCTATTTTAAGAAATACGTGTTGAAATTTTCAAAAATACATGAAGCCTTCTGGTGGAAAGGAAGTCTAAACTCACTTTTTGATGCTTCATGGTTTCCCAAGAAACTCTTCAGTTTCACTTAATTTTCAGAATGAGGTGCTGATTTTACCATTGATTCCATAAGTGTAAAATGAAACAAGTAAGTGGACAATGCATTTGCCCTTAAATAGGAGAAAAATGATCAGTGTAAATTTTTTGCGCGCTAGTGATGCAGTCTCCTGAGAAGATTTGTCTTGCGAGAAATTTCACGACAGTCACGTTGAACATATTATTAAATGTATCTGAAAAATACTCTATACCGATTAATTATCGGATTTCATCCAACAGATCCACCGTTTTCTACTTCATCGCGTCCGTTAGCGTTTATTTTTGTTATCATTAATACCAGTGGTGGGGCGTGATTTGCGGTACATCGATGGATCTGCCATTTAAACCTATGTAAAAGGATCGATAAATAGGATGTTTGCAACAAACACCAGAATAATCGATCATTTACCATTACGCCTCACCACTGATTAGTACCTATTCAGGGTATCTCAGAGGAAGTAAAGCCAATTGGGCCTAACCCTAGTGACCTCTCTGACCTAATAATTCAATTGTTTCAAAGTATATAATTTCCTTCTTAATATTTCCTCTTACATATGCAGTAAAATAAACCCTCCAAAAATGTTTAGAACGCATAAACTTCATTTTAATATAATTTCTAAAACTAAGTATTATCATAAAATTCAAATTATTCTTCCTCAGTTTCAAACCAGCGTCACTTACCTCCTTTTCACCAAACGCCATCCTTGCTTGACTCCACTAATAATTCTTTTACATTTTATCCAAAATATTACAAGAATATATCACCATTACCTGATAGTTTTGGAGGCGTCGCGAAGACTTCAATGAGAATCACTTCCCACTTAATGGAGCTTACGAGGCGCTGATTCTTTAAAGGCGTGAGAGATTCGGAGGATTCCGTAGCAACACCTCTAATCCCTCCACACACGAGAGACGAATCGATCCACTCGACTCGAAACATCTTCATTTGAATCATCCAAGTCGTTTGCAAGCGAATCATCCAGCAGCACCACCTCTTGCAAAAGTTCACAGAGGCCCTTCTCGGATCAAACCAAGCGAGGATCTTGGCACGTTTGATAATTCGAAGCAGGCCCTGGAGTCGAATCAGCGTTGCCATCCGATGCATTAGCTCCGTCAATTACAGGGTGTTCCGACTTGGTGATAATGAACTTCGCGGCTGGCATTATTGAAACTTCTGA